GGGGGCGGGTGGCGGGGGGGGGGGGGAGGGAGGAGAGAGGAGAGGGGCGCGTTGCCATGGTGACGGCGGGCCGGGGTCGCGCGCAGCCCCTGGCCGCCGTGAGGGAGCGCCGAGGGGCCGCCATGTCGGCGGGCGCTCCGCCTGCGTGGAGGGGGCTGTGTGGGGCTGCCTGGGGGGCGAGGGGGCCGGGGGTCAGGCCGAGAGGCGGCGAGAGGGCTGGGGGTGAGCCCGAGAGGCGGCTGGGGGTGCTGAGGCCCAGCCTCCCCTCAGCGGCGCCGCTCTGTGAGGCCGCTTCTTTCTTAAAAAGCCGTTTTCTCGGGCGTTTTTACCCCCTCGGCCTCCCAGCTGCCTTTTGAAATATCACGTTCTTGCTTTTCCTTCAGGTTTAGCGTGAGAGGGGGGCGAGTAGGGGGAGCAGCGGGAAGGAGAGGTAAGGCCTGGAGGCCCCAGGCATCCCTGAAGGTGTCACCCCCGCACCACATCCCCAGTAGCATGTCCGGCCCGCTTTGCTTTCCAAAAAGCTCTTGGAAAGTCAGCCCTGCTCCTGCCTGTGGGCCGTCCCGCAGCCTCCTCTGCTGGGGTTTAATTTGGGCGGACTGAAGGCAGCCTGGTGGCTGTCAGGCGAGGCAGACTCCCGAGGGAGTTTGTGGGGATGCAGAACTCTCCCTTCCTCAGCCTTCCCTGTGTCGCTCCCTCCCGCTATTCACAAAGCCGGGAGGAGCCTGCAGCGCGTGGAGAATCGCAGTGTTGAATAAAAACCTCTGATTTATTTTAACTCGCATCCGAGGAGGCTAAATCTTGTGTTGGTAACGCCGGCGCGAGGCTCGTTTTCCTTGCGCCACCCCGTTATCACTGAAGTCTGTCCCTTTCCAGGGCGGTTTTGCGACGCCGGTGCAGGCCTGCTCCAATTGCGGCTCCCACGTGGAGGGACAGAGCTTGGGAATTAGCCAGGGACGACTCATTAACCTCCTTTTGGATTCTTCTAGCAGATACATAGTGGGTTTTAAACCGAAATGTAATGTTTGTCTTATCCCGACATCTTAAAGAAGCTTCATTTAAAAAGGAGATCTGAATTTTGCCCCCACTGGTGGTCGTTCTTCTCAGCACTCAAAGAAGCTAAAAATTATCAATGGGCAATTGATTTGTACTTGCTTCTTTATTTAATTTGAGGGGGCTGTTCCAGAGGAGCCCCTCTCCCAGCATTGAGCTGGACGTGTGCAATTTTTACTTTCTTTAAACCTTAAACGTTCAGGTGTAGCTTTACTTAGCTTCTGAGCATGGAGGCAGTCAAAGGGCGTCCACAGTGACATCCCCATCTCCTTTGGTAGAGAAAACATCGAAATTTCCTGGGTTGGCTCTGCAGAGGCTGAGGTCTGACGTTGACTGAGCAGTGTAGTCGTGTTTTGTAGAGCTATGGCAAGGTTTTTGTAACTATATACTCTCTGTGAGCCTCAGCATTAATCTGGCATCTGCTTTGTGTAGGCGTTTGGTTTTAGCTGGGATACATCTTTGTAGTTCGGGCGTTTGTGCAGCTGGATGTGCCTTCTTTATGTTGCATATGGAGTTGCTGTGGTTAGGTTTATTCAGCGTTGGCAGGTTGGGCATCGTTTAAAGATAATGATTCCTTGCTGAAATCTGTACCTCAAGGGCTTTAGGATAAATTAAGTGATTTCTTATGGGAAGCAGAACGCTGCAGGGACTCTAGAGGCTTAGTGCAGCTAATGAAGGTGATGAGAGACCATGCTGTGACAGGAGAATGGGGCAGCCGAGCCAAGAACCCGCGGAGCTTGATGTTTATGCTCTCTCAGGCTCCCTGCAGTCTGAATAGCTGGAAAGTTCCTGACATCTCGAAGAGGCAGACTGCAGCGACGCTTCTTATCTTGTGAGTGGCTGTTGCTCCCTCTCCGTCACGGCACCCGCGTTCCCGGCATGGCCCGGTACGGCAGGGTTCCCTCGGTGCTCTTTTCCCTGTGGTGGTGGTGCCGTGCCCTGAGTTGATGCCATTTCATCCCCCGTGACAGTGTGATCTGTCCCCCTGGAGAGCAGACCACCTCCCCGCGCCTAAAATCTGGAGGTTTACATTCCTTGGCTGAATCTCCAAGATTTAAGAGAAGTAAGCACTTTATTTTTGAGATGGAATTATTTATGATGACATTATTTCTGATTTTTGTTGTTTTTTTCCTTTTTGGCGTTAAATAGAAATGAAGGTTGAAGTTCATGATATTAGACAACCATTTCTTGATAACTGTATTTGTAGAAGGTGTTTTTTCCTAAGTTCAGAATGACTTTTGAAATGTCCTTAGTGCTTTAGAGGCACTTTTGTCTTGAGAGGCACTTGAAAATGGAATTGATGGCTCCATTTCTGCTGTTCAGAGGGATGCGAAGAGGAGCAGTGCTTGGGCAGGTGAACAGGCAAAACCCAGAAAGGCCTAGGGAGCAGTTTATAAACAGGCTTGATGTTTGAGACTTAACTGATAATTCGCAACCTGAAGCTAATATAAACTTAAATTAGATCCGTAAACGAAGCCGGTGGAGAAAGCGGGGAAGGTTTGACCTTGGGCTGTGAGGTGCCTTGGGGGGAGTTGAGGGCAGATCTGGGCAGCAGCGGGAGTTGAGTGCGTTGCTTTACACAAACAACTTCTTACGTATTCCAGTTAACGAAGGTTACATGCTTTAGTCCCTAGCTCATCGCAAGTGTCTTTGCACCGTTAATTAAAATTTGGCTGGCTTTGTGGAAGTAGCCCTTTCTTCCAAAAGAATCAGCTAATCCAAAAAGAGAGATCTTACCCTACTGAAAAGAGAAAAAAGAGGGTTTTCATTCCCCCCGCCTTGTTTTCCATCCGGACTGTTCTTGGCTGTGTTCACTCAGGGTGAGTTTGATGTTACTGCCTGACTGACTGTCTCCCCAAGAGACACCCCTTCTGAGGAGTGGGGGTTTTTCCAGCAGTTTAACTCCCCAAAATGGTTCACCCCATGCTTGTAGGCATTTTGGGGGGGCATGAGGCTGTGGGGGTTCGTTGTCACAGCAACATCGAAGTGCTGTTGGGTTCGGTGGTGTGTTGAGAAAACACAGGGTACAACGTTGAAAAGGATGTGCGATGGAGGAGGCTCAGGGCCCTTTTGTGCAAGGGTGGAGGGTGTAAAACCGGGATGTGCGAGCAGTTGGCGGGAGCAAAATGCATTTGAAACTTTCCCCCAAAATCCAGGCTCTACAGTAAAATAAAAATCTGGTTATTGTAGGTGATGGGCAGCATGGGCTGAGTGGTGTTTCGGGAGACAGGGTGTGAAGAGCAGCTCTCTGAGGTGTTGTAATATTAATATTATAATAATATATTATTATTGCGATGATAAATAGAAAGTTTTCAGTAGTGCTCAGAAACGAAAGGCTGGTAGGCAGACTGTATCTGAGTGTCTGCGGGAGCTGGTGTGCTCTGTTTTCATCAGCCAGCATTCAAAGCTGACAGTTAGGTAGATTATTGGGACTCTTTCTTCAATGATCCCTGCCAAGGTTTGCAGCACAGCTGAGGTTTCATACCTGTAAAAGTCTCACCTGCCAGTGCTGCTGCTTTGCTGCAGTGAATCGCAGGCATCCCGTCTGTAGGACAAATGCTGAGATGTCACCGAGGCTCTGAAACCTGTAAAAAAAAACCTCTGATTTTGGGCCAGCAGCTCTTACACAGCGTTTCATTTTGGCAAAAGCCTGCCTAGCAGAATTTTTGCTGGACTCTTCTCACAATTGGCAAGGAAAAATGGATACGGGTGAATAGCTCTGTCTGCTTTCTTTCCCTTTTAATTGTCTTATTTTGGAGAAGCAGAGTGGGAGAGGACCGTGTGCTGGCAGACCTGTGGTGGTTTATGTCATGGGCTGTTGATAGACTTCTCAGACATAAAACTTCCTTCAAGGTCATATCCCACGGCGTGTAGCCGTATGGCGGGCTGGGTAATCCTTCTCTCATCACCAGAGAATGAAATGCTCTTGGTGGCTTTTTGTAGCCAACAGAAATCTTTTTGTCTTCCTTCCCTAAATTTGCCAACAAGGCATCGTCTTGGAAGAAGGGAGCGCCTGTTCCGGGGTACAGGCTCACAGGCAAGAAGATGACCAGCTGAGGTGAAAGGAAGTGGGCAGGCAGTGGCGACTGCAGCCCGCTTTTGTGCAAAACAGCCCTGTGATTTTATTGAGCTTCGTTGTGAGGGAAGTTAAGGATGTGTGTGAGAGCTGCGGGGCAAAGTTCAGAAACCTAAAAAAAGTGCAATTCTCAGCCCGAAGGTGATCTCATAAAGATAACAAACCCCGGTGTTTATCCGCCAGGGAAAAGCTGGCTTGACAAAAACCTGTGGTCTGTTCCACGTCCTGTTGCATATATGTAGTGACTTTGCTTGTGGTGATTTGTCTACTATAGAAACTGGATGGCTTCTACGCTCAGCCTGGGTAAAGAAACATTGTTGGAAGATGGAATGCCACCTGCAAAAAAGCCCAGGTAAATTTAATCATACTCCAGTGAATTTCTTCTAATAAGAGCTTTTCCCTAACCGTGCGTTCTTCTTTAAAGAGCGTGACACTTGGCACCGAACCCCGGCAGTCGTTTCGGCTGCTGATCCAAGGAAAGCGCGCTGTCTCTAGCTGTGCCCTGTAACTAGCATTTTCCTGAGGTGCCTGGAAAAAAAGACCTTAACGCCCAGAACGTCCTTTGTTGCAGTGTGGTTTTTTTAACCCCTAAGCCAGGCTGCACGGCTGCAGAGAAAGCTGGTTTTTCCTGTACTGTCTCTGTGGTTTCGGTCGGTGTGGCCCCTGGCTCAGGTCCTGTCCACACATTGGGGTCACGGCAGACGCGGTGGTTGTGCTTTGCGCGGGTTGGACGCCGGTTCCCGGGAGGACAGGCAATTACTCAAATTAGTATGATTTTGCTGCATGTCAAGGCTAAATAATTCCACTCTAGAGACTGCCCATACTAATTAGCAGGTCGTCTTAACAGTTCTCCAAGCTGAGCATGACACTAACGGGACATACCCACCCTTCTTTCCATCCAGGGCTGGCACTGTGGCTGCTGCGATAGCATGGGTTCAGGAGTTAAGGCATCACCGTCTGCAAACAGGCAGCTAATTCTTCTGGGGAGTTGTCTTCCACTAATCTGATTTATTTATGAGTTGTTGAGGTCTGCAGAATAGTTTCTGGGAGGGAGCCCTGCTGTCAAGGTTTGTCCAGTGACCGTGGAATGAGCAGAAAAGCGGCTGGGAGATTATTTTTAACTTGCTCAGGATATCAGGGTAGAAACAGGTGTATTTATCAGCATGGGAACAGAATGCCTCTTTCAGAGCTGTCACACGGGACGTTAAGACTTGTGTATTTGTTATTCTTTTGGATTTCAGTCCCCAGGTTTCTGGTTGTGTTTTTATTCCAGCTCATTGGCATAAGCACTACCTTATTCTTTGCAAGTGAGGCTTGCAGTCCCAAAATTAAAACCCATTTATTGCCACTAACAGTGAAGACCTCTTAAAGAAAAGGGTTAACTCATGTGTTTTCCTAGGCAATAGCAGAGGGAAGGCAAAGCTTTGCCTGTGTGGTGTCGGTTTCCTTTCCCCTTCTCACTAAATACCACGTTTGCAGATAAAAAACATTCCTTCCAAATGAGCTGCCTCCCTGGGCTGCTGCTTCCATCCTCTGGGAAGCTGCAGCCGGTCCCCTGCTTCAGAAAAGCAGCTTCACAACCAGGCGAGGCCCAATGGGGAGAAGCACACCTACTTCATAAATGCTAAATATAAAATTTAAAAGCACTGTGCAGGTGTAAAGCCAGGAAAACAAGGCAGAGGGGAGGAGGAGGAGGGAGGAGAACATAGCCACACAGCTCTTGCGTGAGACTCTTCCTCCTGCCCTCTCGGCTTCCAAAAGATGGGTCTCGAGCATCCTGCTTACGTTGCAGGGAAGGGATTTTTGGTCCCACTGGTTTTCTCAGCAAAGAGGGGCTGGAGGGTGGGAAGGTCCTCTCCAGGGCAGAGCTGGAAGGAAGTCTTTGCTTCCTTCCTTTTGTGCTGGGATAAATGGGGCTGCTGTCTTCAGACCCCAAATCGGCACCTTATTTAAACCAGAAGCAGTCATGGTGGTGTTTTCTCCCTGTGGGGGGGGTCCGATACGTGCTGTCGATATCGAGTGTGTGTGTGTGTGTGTCTCTACAGCCGTTGGTAACATCATCCATAGTGCTCACCACACCTTTTCCACTCTCCCCAGCCTTTCTACAAGCTTCCACGTCACTTTTATTAACAAGACCTTCCTTATTCCAAATTTTAATTGAATTAGTTTCACTTTGGAAGTATTCCTCGGCGGTATTGACTACCCCCAGTAACGGTCTCGATTGTCAAATGTGTTTTAATGACCTACCTTGTCATTGTGGGCATTTGTGATGCTGATCCCTCTCTTTAAAGGATACCGAGCTGCTCCTCCCATCCTCTGTTCATCAGAGGACCCTAATGGACGTGTTGATTCAAAATGTAGGCAGAGGGTACCTCCCTTGTCATCAGTCTGCATGTGCCACACCACCCGGGACACCCTTCCATCAATGATGGTCCCAGCTGGGCTACTTTCTCCTCTTGCAGGAAGCTCTTGCCAAGCCTCAAAACCAAGAAGCCTCGGGAACTGGTTTTGGTGATTGGGACAGGAATCAGTGCAGCAGTTGCTCCCCAGGTCCCGGCGCTGAAGTCTTGGAAAGGGTTAATCCAGGCCCTATTGGATGCTGCTATTGACTTTGATCTCCTGGAAGATGAAGAGAGCAAACGGTTTCAAAAGTGTCTCCACGAAGACAAGAACTTGGTTCATGTTGCCCACGACCTCATCCAGAAGCTGTCTCCGGTGAGTGTGCTCGTAGCACCGCACGGAAATATTGGGTACCCTGCCCTGAGCATTCAGAAATAGCCAAGCTTGGTTCTCCCTCAATGCCTCTACCTACAAGGAATCCCAAGTGCCAGGTTCCTGAGACAATTTAGCCAGGGACACCAGCTTTTGGGTATTTCACTGGGAGTATGCTGGGGTGGGGGGAGTGCCCACTTAGTGCTCGGTGTTTGCTTTGTGAGCACCCACAGCTTTGCCCAGGTCTTTGAGAAATACGTGGGTGGTTTTGCATCGAGTCGTTTAGCGTGAAGCGTTAAAAGAAGCCCGGCTGATCCTCATCTCCCTCCCCTTCTCAGCGCACAAGCAACGTTCGCTCAACCTTTTTCAAAGACTGTTTATACGAGGTGTTTGATGACCTGGAATCTAAAATGGAAGATTCTGGGAAGCAGCTGCTTCAGTCTGTGCTTCACTTGATGGAAAACGGGGCACTGGTGTTAACCACAAACTTCGATAACCTGCTGGAACTGTACGCAGCACACCAGGGGAAGCACCTGGAGTCTCTTGACCTGACTGATGAAAAGAAGGTAAACGATGATGATTTTTTTGTTGTTGTTGAAATGTCAGGGCTGAGCTGGGAGAGCGGCAGCTGGGGGATGTGCCCTCATGCCCATGTAAGGGGAATGCGCCGTTCGTAGTAATTTAAATGACATTAGACAAACTCCAGGCAGAAGCTCTGACCATGTGGGGCAGTGAGCAGAGGCGCAGAGACGGATGCTGGTTTCTGAAGTGCTGTGCTTGCTGGCTGGCATCCATCGCTCAGGAGGAGCCCTTAAGCCTGGTATTTCTTTGATCTCTGTCCTTGAAACCTCTGGCTCGGCCTTGCTGAAGTACTGCGAGCCCTGCTTCCACATAAGGCATGGGGTGATGTTTTTAACCAACACAGGAAACTGTGTGAGACACAAAGCTGACTTTTCTATTTTTATAACGTGCTGCGGAGTGCTTTTTTTGTGACAGAGCGTTTTCGGGGCTGTGGCCTTCGAGGCTTCCCCCGTGCTCCGTTCCCTCTTTCTGAAAGGGCTGGGTGGCTCCTGCTGGGTTCCTCACCTGCTCTGGTTTCTTCTGCCACACTGTGGGATTCACAGCTGCTGGCTTCACACAAGCTTCCCTCCTCCTGCCGCAGGCGGGCAGAAAATCAGACGGTGAAACCCTGAGCTCCTCACCATCTGCCCACCTCCTCTTTCCACCCTGGCTTGCACTGGTGGAGACCATCTCGTCCTTCTGTTTGCTCGTTAAACACACACCACACGCAGGTCTCTTTCCATTCCCAGTCATTTCTGTGCTTCACGTTTCCTGCATGACCTCTTAATCTGCGTGGCTGCAAGATGTGCTTACAGTGTTACAAGTAAGCATTCTAATTATTGCAAGCTTAAATGAGCTAAGGTCTGCAGGAGGAAACTGAGAGCCTCGGAAATGGCTTTCTGAAATGAGGGTCAGCTGTTGAGCTTCCTCAGATCTTCTCAGAGCCTAGAGGGGCCAAGAAATAAAACTTTCTAGGCTTGAGAAACATGCTGACGTAATTTGTATAGGGTTTTTTCTCTTTATTCTGCTGGGTCTGCTGTGTTGATTTAGTCTTTCCCCATCGCATGCGCCGTTCAGCTGAAGTGCTGACCCCAACAAGCGCCGTAGGCTGTAGCCGCGGTGTAGAGGCTGGTGGACTCATGACCTCTTGAGGAGATCAGATGGAACATGAGGAAGAAGCTGCCTCTTTAAAGCGCTTCCCCACCACGGTGTTTTGAGGAGCACCACAGACGCTGGCGTGCTGCACTCGCTGACGTTTCTGGAGGGGTTTGTTTTGTGCAGGTGCTGGAGTGGGCACAGGAGAAGAGGAAGCTGAGCGTCCTGCACATCCACGGCGTGTACACCAACCCCAGCGGCATCGTGCTCCACCCGGCCGGCTACCAGAACGTGCTGCGCAACACGGAGGTCATGGTGAGGCAGGGCATGCTCTGGGGACCCCTACGCTGGGTGCATACATCTCCCGCAGCCCTCCAACCCCTGTGTTAACTGGGCACTGACTCAGCTGAGTTTAAAGACTCAGGGTGGTGGGAGAGCCCTTAATTTTGTGCAATAGGAGAGGTGGATTCTCTAGAAGCATAGAATTACCGAGGTTGGAAGGGACCTTTAAGGTCATCAAGTTCAACCATCAACCTTGTGCTCCCAAAACCACCACTAACCCATGTCCCTCAGTACCATGTCTTAAATTCCTCCAGGGATGGCGACTCCACCACTGCCCTGGGCAGCCTCTTCCAATGTTTGATAACCTTTTCAGTGAAGAAATTTTCCCTAATATCCATCCTAAACCTCCCCTGGCACAACTTGAGGCTGTTTCCTCTTGTTGCATCACCTGTGACTTGGGAGAAGAGACCAATCCCCCCCTGGCTACACCCTCCTTTCAGGGAGTTGGAGAGAGTGAGGTGGTCTCCTCTCAGCCTCCTTTTCTCCAGGCTGAACACCCCCAGTTCCCTCAGAAGTTCTCCAGACCCTTCTCAGTCTCCAGACCCCTCACCAGTTCCATTGCCCTTCTCTGGACCTGCTCCAGCACCGCAATGTCTTTCCTGTCATGAGGGGCCCAAAACTGAACACAGCCCCTGAGGTGTGCCCAGTACAGGGGGACAGTCACTGCCTCAGTCCTGCTGGCCACACTGGTCCTGGTACAGGCCAGGATGCTGGTGGCCACCTGGGCATGCTGCTGGCTCATATTCAGCCAGCTGTCAACCAACCACTGGGCAGCTCCAGCCACTCTTCCCCCAGCCCGGAGCGTTCATGGGGTTGGTGTGACCCAAGTGCAGGACCTGGCACGTGGCCTTGTTGAACCTCACACCATCGTCCTTGGCCCAGGTCCTTCTGCAGAGCCTTCCTGCCCTCCAGCAGGTGGACACTCCCACCGAGCTGCAAAGCCACCTCAGCACCTTGTGTTGAGGATGGTTGAATGATGACACTCCGAGTCTCATCAGGGATGAGGCAGATGCTGTCTCTTGTGCCGTGTGAAGGTAAAGCTGGCCTTGACTAAGAACATCTTTCCCTTTTTTAAAGCGGGAGATTCAGAAGCTGTATGAAAATAAGTCATTCCTGTTCTTGGGCTGTGGTTGGACTGTTGATGACACCACGTTTCAGGCCCTGTTTTTAGAGGCTGTGAAGCACAAGTCAGACCTGGAGCACTTCATGCTCGTACGGAGGGGAGACGTGGATGAATTTAAGAAGCTCCGCGAGAACATGCTGGACAAAGGGATTAAAGTGATTTCCTACGGAGATGAATACGCTGACCTGCCCGAGTACTTCGAGAGGCTGACGAGCGAGATCGCCACGCGGGGTCGAGCAGGTACGGGGGTTGTGGGCTGTGCAGGGATCCTGTCACACACAACACGGTTCCTGACTGTCACCCTGGCCTTTGGAGTGTGGGCAGCATTAACAGCCCCTGTTCTCTATGCTGTGTTATTCCTTAAGCTTTTCTTTTTTGTTGCCCCAGAAAAATTGTCTGCAAGCGTAGCTGAATTTGGGGTTTACTTTTACGAAACCACTGTCTGTTCTTATAGTTTAAACAGCTTTGCTGCTTCCCACACGCTATCTGGCAGCTGCAGTTGGTTGTTCCCTTTCAAATGAAAGGGTACTCCAGTCTCGCTGATTTTCATGCTGTAACACACAAGAGAACTTGCTAATAAATCATACAAATGGGGAAAAGAAGCGAGTTGGGTCGCCGGAGCCTCGCTGGGATGCGTTTGGAGGGTAAAATCCAGCCTGGAAAACCTGTCCCTGCAGGGCTGCCCTTCCAGCCGCTCCTTGCTCTCTCCCAGGTGTGCCCAAGGAGGGACAACAGCTCAATGGCTCCGCTGCCAACATGAAAGGTAAGACTCCCCCGAGCAGCTTCGCCCTTTCCAGCCCCGTTGGGACTCCCCGGGAGCCCAGGTGGGTTTTGCAGAGCTGTTGTGTTCCCGCAGGATGCAGCAGCTGAGTCCCAGCCCGGCCCCAGGACGGACTGAAGCCAGAGCCCAGCAGCTCCCAGAGAGGTCCCAGGTGGTTTGAGGCCAGTCCCGGGGAGGATGGGATCCCGCTGCCACCCACACGCACCCACAGCCCGGACACTACAGGCAGGAGCCAGAGCTCCCCCGGACAGACACACGCCTGGGTTAACGTAGTCACTCTCTTTTTATCAGGGCTGCACACAGCTGGGGAGCGTGGTCCCCCTGCAGGAGCTGCAGCCTCCTCTACTTTCATACTTAGTGCTTTTTTGTATTCTGTACTTTCAATTAAAAACATGAAACTTGAGCGTGGTTTTTTTTTTTTTTTACTTGAAGCTCTAGTTTTCTAGTCCTGTCTTTATACTGTACAGTATTTTGTATGTTGAAGCTTGTATTAAAGGCCTGGTCACTTAAAACTTTTGGCTGGTGTGTGATTTACATGCCCGAAGAAACAGGTCCTGGCTGGGGGGGGGGGGCAAGTTACTTATACACGGAGAACAAATTATGAAGTTTATTTTATATAAATTATGTCTTTTAGCAGACAGCATTCAATTTATTGCACTAGAGCACATCTGCAATACAGAGCTACAAGACATCGTAAGAGTTTTGTATTATTCAGTGTAGCACTTCAGATGGGGATCAAGAGGCACTCGAAGGGGGGAGAAAGGGGGCAGGAAAGCAGCAAGCAGCCACCATTATCTTCCAGTATTCATTGTTTGGGTTTTTTTTTTTTTTTTTTTACTGTGATGCCCTAGCTGTCAGAGTTTAAATGCTCTAGAGGCTCAATAGCTGTGATATTTATTAACCAAGTGGTTATGATCAGAACTTTGTCACTCAAACTTGCTCGGTATCAGCTGACATATGGTATCATGTTTGAAATACCACTTGGTAAATCACTGATAACGTCAATGTAATTGCTGAAAGCTAACACAGGGTATAATTCTTTTCCCATTGAAGCTGATGGCAAGAGTTCTATTGATAGCAGTGGTGCAGAACTGAATCTGCTAACCAGGAAAGTCTTCTTTTTTTTTGTTTTTTTTTTTTTTTTTTTCACTTTTTTACTAGCAAATAACACTGTGGGCAGGAGCACGGTGCCGTCCTCATCCAGCCACCACTGTGGGACCAAGCTGTCACAGCCCCCCGGCTCCTGCCCAGATGTGCCATGTCCAGGTGCCCTGCTCTGGTGACAACAGAAACAGGGACCTTAAGGCAATTTAGCATCTCCCCCTCCAGCCCCCCGGGCAGTTTTGGTTGATCAGCTTGGGTGGAGCTGCCACGAGCCGTGACATTAAGAGATCTTCCAGCGCTGCCGCAAAGCAGCGCCTTTCCTGCTCACCCCTGACAGAAGTCGCTCCCATGTCCTCCCTAAACTCATCTAAAAATCAAAAGCAGCTCAAAACAAACAAAAAAAAAAAGCCTTCAAATCCCCTGAAAAGCACAGCAGGTCCTTGTGCTGCCCTCCCCACCCCGTGCAGCAAGAACAATACAAAGCTCTGGCTTCAGCCTCCCCGGGAGGGAGCCTGCGTCGCCGATACAGAAGGAAGCAAGCCAGGGGAAGGGGTTTGGCTGGATAAAATGGGGTTTTATCCAAAAAACCAAACCCCTTCGCGCCTGTGTCCCCTCCTTCTGTTCTGCACTACACAGGAAAGACTAGTCGGTAACGGGGTAAAGCATGTTCTTCTCAGACATCTGCGAGCGGCGATTTGGTGGGATTGTGTGGGTTTTTTTAGGCCTTCATGAGCGCTGCGACCACGGCCTTGGCGTTAAGGCTTCGCAGATCACAGTAAGTTTGTCCAGTACCGACAAAAACGATGGGCTTGCTCGTGATGTAGGTCATGGAGATGGCAGCACCGACCTGCCGAGGATAACGAGCACTGTTAACCCGCGGATCCCACCTTCGACCATTCCCGGTCACCAGCGAGAAGCTCCGCACGGAGCCGTCTCGACGGCCTCCCTACCTTGTCATCGATGGTATCGAACTTGGTGAGGACAATCCCGTCGATGAGGCGCGGCGTCTGGGCCATGGAATGATCAGCCAGCGCTTTGTTGAACTTGACCTGAGGGAGAGAATGGATGAGAGAAACTCATTTGTGGTGCTGCTGGTCTCCAAATCTCCGGTAAAACCTACAGAAGTGGATTTTCTCCCCCCCAGTCTTTGAGGAAACAAAAGACTCGACACTCACCAGCTGATCCACAGCCTCGTTTCCCACCAGAGCTTCCCCAACGAACAGCACCAGGTCAGGAGCATTGACGGCAATGAGTTTGGCCAACGCCGTCATCAAAGGAGCGTTGTCCTGCATGCGGCCCGCCGTGTCCACCAGCACCACGTCGAAGCCCTGGTTCCGGGCTGGGGAGCCGTAGAGGCCACGTTAAGGGAGATAACTCCCCCAAAACAGCCTCTCCCACCACCCGGCTTCCCACCTACCGTAGGAGATGGCCTCCATGGCGATCCCCGCGGCGTCCTTGCCGTAGCCCTTCTCGTAGAGCTGCACCATGGTCCTCCCGCCGTGGCTCTCCGGAGGGTGCAGGGCGTTGAGGCGACGGGTGTGGGTGCGGAGCTGCTCCACCGCTCCTGCGCGGAAGGTGTCGCAGGCGGCGATGAGGACACTGAAACCATTCTCGATGAGCCAGAAGGAGATCTGTAGGTGGCAAGAGATCAAAAAGAGAAGAGGAAAAAAAAAAAAAAAAATGTGCTCTTTCCACTTAGAACTTTATTAAAGGCAAAGAAAGAAAAAATAATCCCTCATATTAAACGAGCTGAAGACAAACCACAGTTCTGGTGAATCAGATGGAAGTATCAGGCCCACATGCGGCCAGTTTCTACACACACAGACCCAGCCAGTTACACAGCTCCCAACTTCATATTTATCCAGAAGGAAAACCACAATGGAATGCAAGAAGCCTCTTGTACAAAAGCCAGAGGAGACAGTAGGCATCCTGGCCTCCAACTAAAAGAGAAAAAAAAAAAAAAAAACCACAAAGCCCATTGGCAGCTGCAGACCGACCTCAGCATTGGTCACAGGAGGACTGTGTCCTACCTTGGCCAGGTTGGTGGACTTCCCGACACCGTTGACGCCACAGAAAGTGACTACGTAGGGTCGGCGATGGCGCTGAGCATCCATGACATCACGGAGGACGTCCACGCGGCGCTGGGGCTGCAGGATCTGCACGAGAGCTTCCTGCAGGGCCTGCTTCACCGTCGAGGTCACCGCTGGGGAGGAGATGGGAGGAGAAGCCATCACGCCTGGGGAACCCTCCTGAGCCCCAAACCACAAGCAGGAGACCACGCAGCTACTTACTGGTGAACGTTCCCATCACCTTCCCTTCCAGTTTCTTAGCCACCGACTCACAGAGCTGCACCGCAATCTCAGCTGCCACGTTTTTTGCTTTGAGAAAAGAGACAGAGAAGGGGGGAGTGAGCACTGCTGAGGAGGTTCCACACACCAGACATCGGTGTCAGGGGAAGGATGGAGTCTTGTGCAGGATCCCCACCAGACTAGACTCTTGCCCCCCTTTCGATGCAGTCGAGGGCTCCCCAGAGGCAAGACAGGAACCCACCATGGTTCCTGTGGGCAAGAATGTCCCAAACCATGGGTGCCCACCCAACGGAGCGCAGGGAACCCCTTCAAACTAACCCACTCATGGCAGATCCAGACATACCGATCAAGTGATCCTTCATCTTCTCCAGTACGGGGTCCATGTCCTCTCTTGTCAAGCTCTTGGAGCCCACCAGGCCTTTCAGCATGCCAAACATGCCCCCCAGCCCACCCTTCTTCGCACTGTGGAGAAGCAGAGGAGTTACCTTTGGGTTTGAGGAGCACGTGGCACAGAGCACACAACAGACAGACAGAAGAGCCCACCACGCAGCTGCCAAACACACCAATTTTGTCCCCACTGTGTTACTGCTTGGACTGGGAGGGAGATCAAGAAGTGTGTGGCAAGCAGGAGGCTGCAAGAGCCTCTACCTGGGTTTCGAAGGGTTCTGAATAACCTTCTCCTCTTCAGCTTCATCATCGCTTTCGTACTCAAGGTCGTAGAGGCGGCCGGGCTCACGATTTCGATCCCCCAGGGCCTGGGAGGAGGGAGGAAAAGACACACCTTGAAACCAGGCAGCTGCTGACGGTGGCCTGTCCCTGCCACCAGGGCTGTCCTCGGTGGCAGAGATCTTGGCTCAGCCACCCGGCGCCGTTCGCAGAGCCAGAGCCAGAGTCAATATCCTTTTAGGCAGCAGCTTTAGGGGCTGGGCGCTGCCATTCCCTGTTTCCAGCACTTTCTCAGCCAGCCGTGGAGACCAGGCTGGGTTCTCAACGCCCAACCGATCCCGGAACAGCCCGCTAAAAGCAGAGTGACCCCATTTTTCCTTACTATGTCAGGGTCAAATTCCTCCACGGGACAAGCCTCCGCGCTGCCGTTGGTGGCAGAGTTACTGTAATCGAGTACTTTGGCATTAGAGTTCCCCAGATCCCACACTCGGGGCTTCTTCCCCTTCTCCTTCTGCGCCTCGGGCTTTGGAGATCTGTCAAAATAAAGACCAGAAATGTGCTTTGTTCAGCGCAGCAAAGCAGCAGCGACCACCTCCTTAGAAGGTGTGAAGATTAAAAGCTGGGATGACCCAGAAATTAAGGCTAAACCTGCCTGATTCCGAGTCTCCAGAGTTTATCTGAACTTTAACCCTGTATCCGACCACTTCACCCCGAGCCAGGCATCGATGCGTCGCTGCCCTTTGCTCGCAGCGGCAAAGCCTCACCAAAAAGAGGTCTGGACCTCTCCCAGGCACACGCTGGGTTTCTGGGAGGCTCCATGTCCCTTCCAGGAGTCCCAGTGCACCCTCTCCCACTCTCTCCAGTAAGCAGGGAAGTAAGGGCTGACTCCCAGGAAGGAGAGACTCGGCCAAGGCCGAGGGACACCAAAAAACGCAGGCAAAGCAACAGCCTCCTCATGACCCACCTGGACTTCTCCCCGGCTTTCATGTGTCTCTTGAAGAATTCCTCCCGGTTCTTCTGCAGGATTTCATCCTTGGTCAGCTCCTCCTTCTCCCCGGCTGCGGAGGGCTGCTTGTCACCAGCAGATGCTTTACCAGGCGCTGTAACAGCTTCAATTCCTGACAGAAAGAGTCCCAACACGTGCTCAGACCAGCGTTTGGGTGCTATGAGAGGACTGGGAGAGCTCGGGAGTATTTATTCCCCTCCATCTCTCTCTCCCATCAACTCACCCTCTTTTTTGGAACCTTTGTTCTTCTTGTTCTTGACTTTCTCCTTTGGTTTCTCCCCTCGGGTTTCTATCATACACTTGACAGTCTTCTGGGACTTGAGAGACTGCTCAAACGTCTTCATCACCGTGGGAGCTCGGACTTTACTGCTCTCCTCTGCATCCCTGCGGGGAGGTGGCCCGTTAGCCTGAATTTCAGCTCTGCCTCCCCCCACCCCCAGCCCGCCCCGTCAATCTCCGCTCTAAATGAAAACCAGAGAAAAAAAACCAGGCTGTGGTACCGGAGGAGACGCATGAAGTCATCTTTAAAATCAAAGGTGCCATTTAGGAGGCCCAGGGTGCCTTTCTGCTGGAACTCATTGCGATACTTGTCCCTGAACTCCTTATGAACGTCGTCTATCAACTTGTCGACGTAGGTTAGAGTCAGGATCTTCTGAAACCCCACCTGCAAAGCAGCACAGCAGAAATCACTCTTCCAGCCCATTTAAGCACAGCATCGAGCTGGCAACCCCTCTGTCTGATACGGAGCTCTTTCATTTCAGCAGGTTTCAGGCTACATTTCCTAGTCCAACCTCCTGAGCTCTCAAAAAAAATAAAAAAACCAAACGGCGCAGCCCTGAGCTTCGCTTTAAAAGGCAACACCGATAAAAACGACCTGAAGTGACTGTTTCATGGCAACAAAGCCACGAAAGAGCGAAAGAACAGCGCAAGTTTTTTTGCTTATCTTTAGGTACACAAGGAATGTCGTGTGGATTTAGAGAGATAAAGGGAACCTGAAAGGCAGAGCGGTAAAATAGTCTCTGAAGTAAAGACGTTGGCACATTTTTGGCTTTTGTTAAGTAGATCTGGTGAAAGTAGAAAGTTCTATTAGGACGTAGCAGCCTGCACGGCTTCTGGTTGGGGTTTAAGGAGTTTTAATCCCATGGCAGATGATTACAATAAGCTGCTGGTGACCAAGCGACACCTCCATCCACCCTCCGCGTCCCCGCACTCCCTTGGGGAGGAAGCGGTGACACCGGGATCGGTGCTCAGCTCTGGGGGAGCCTTCCCCAAAACCTCACCCCAAAATACCACAGCCAGGAAGAGCCAAACCAGTTCTGGGAGTGGAGCTACGACCTGGCGCAATTAAATCATTTATTTGCTTAAGCCCTAATTGTTCTCCCTGTTTTCAGATGGGATTTTTTTCCCGATGTTTGAGCCCCACGGGCCCCCGTTTGCCCACGTGGAGGCGGAAGAAAACACCACGTCAGGAAAAAACCTTCTCGTTATCAACGCACGAGCTGCTTCTCTTCCCAAGCCTCCTCGCCAGGGCAGCCACGGCCCCCCCAGCAGATTTTGGGGAAGCCTCACCCCTAGGGGAAGGTTTTTTTCCAACTAAGCCACAAGTGGACACCCTTGTTTTTCAGCCCCCCTGGAGGTTTGGGGGCCGGAGGGGGGTTACTCACCACAAACACCAGCTCAAACTGGTTGTCCAGTTTGTACTTGAGCGTGAGGGCCTCATGGGTGAAGGAGTTGTTGCCCCCTCGCTCCTGGGGGAGAAAAACCATCGCGAGGGGGTCGCCAGCAGCGAGGAGACACCCATATAATCCCTGCCACCTTCCCCCTCCCCAAAAAGGGTGGCCAGGACCTGTTGTAGGTGGCCCAGCACCTCTTGGAGGTCCCCTGGCACCCCTCGCTGCTGCTCCAGCCCCCCTTACAGACCCCCCCCAACCCGCCTCCAGCCCCCCAACAGCCCCTGTCTCCAACAGCTCCCTCCCCTACAG